ACATCATGACAATGGCCACAAATGTTCTGAAAAGCATGAGATTCCCTTTTTTCATCCTATTTATTGAATATCGGTTATCGGTGGAGTTATCGGCCGATACCGATTTAGCGTTAAAAGGCCAATATCGGCCAATATATCTGTCGGGCTCCATAATACAGTATAATGCAATACAGTACATTAATACAGTCCACACTAAAAAAGATTAGCCTACTGGAGCTTGATTAATTTATTTACCCAAGAGAGCATTGCTACATTGTAAAACCATGAAACGTGACACGTTTATAACCTAAACATTAGTGTTTTAAACTTAAACATCAGGCATTTACATTTGCCAATAAGTGTTCTCATCTTAAACACTGGCATTTAGAATGCAAGATTGAACATGGTAGTCAGCTTTTTCTAGTCAGTTTCCAACCAGGAGAACATCTATATCTCCTTAATGTTCAGATTTTAAACACTAGTGTTTATTTTCCCATCGTCCTGTTTAGAATGCATTTTAGTCATTGATGTGGCGTTCCATGCCTTTTATTCAGATCAGTGTTAGGAATGTCTGTGACCTTACCTACATTTCAGCACAATTGAACAAGACATTTGATTCAAGAAATCGTTTCAGTCATGTGGTGTTGTTGTTTTTCGATTGTGTTAATTTCCGTTAACTCTCTGAGTGGAACGATATGTCGGGTATGTCACGATCGTCTAACAGAGATGAGGACCAAGGCGCAGCGTTGCAGGCAAACATACTCTTTATTAGAGACACGATCAAAAACAACAAAACGATAACGTGACAGTTCACGGTCTAACACAACAGACTAGAAACAAGATCCCACAAACTCTGTGGGGAAACAGGCTGCTAAAGTATGGTTCTCAATCAGAGACAACAAGCAACAGCTGAATCACGTTGCCTCTGATTGAGAACCACACTGGCCAACATAGAACAACAATACTAGAATGTGAAACCTAGAACAAAACACATAGACTTTACACACCCTGGCTCAACATATTAGAGTCCCCAGAGCCAGGGCGTGACAGTACCCCCCCCTAAAGGCACGGACTCCGACCGCGCCTGCCAAATACCACAGGGGAGGGACCGGGTGGGCACTCCGCTTAGGCGGCGGATCCGGCTCCGGGCCTGATCCCCGCTCCCTCTCCAACCCCCCAAAGTACCCCTGGTCCGGTCTGGCCCCGCTGGCCGGAGCTGGACTGCACACTGGTGGAGCGGATTGCTCTAGCTCCGGCGTGAAGCATCTGACCGGTGCCGGACCAGCCACCGGTGGAACAGGCACGGGCCGTGCCGGACTGACGACGCACACCACTGGCTTGGTGTGGGGAGCAGGAGCGGGCCGAGCCGGGCTGACGAAACGCACCACTGACTTGGTGCGGGGAGCAGGAACGGGCCGGACAGGGCTGACGAAACGCACCACTGACTTGGTGCGGGGAGCAGGAATGGGCCGGACTGGGCTGGCGACGCGCACCACAGGCTTGGTGCGGGGAGCAGGAACAGGCCGGGCCGAGCTGGCGACGCGCACCGTAGACTTGGTGCGAGTGGCAGGAACAGGCCGGACCGTACTGGGAACACACACCACTGGCCCTACGTGGGGATCAGGAACAGGCCGGACCGGACTGGCAACACACCCCAGTACCTCTCGCCGTGCCTCTACACCTTCCATCCCCTCTTCGACCAGTGGCCCCCGTAACCTGGCGGCCTCCTCTGCCAACCCGCTGGGCCGCTCTATCGCGGCCTCCTGCTGCCCCGACGTCGTGAGCCCCCCCCTAAAAAATTTCTGGGAGTCTCTCTTCCCCGTGGGCCAGGCCTCTATAGTTCTCGCCCAACTCTCGCTCTTCTGCTTCCAATTCCCGCCATTCAGCTCCTCATTCGGCTTGACCCAGTCGAAGCTCTTCCTCCACTGTTCCCAAGTCCACCCTCTCTGCTCCTCACTAGGCTGCTTGGTCCAGTTCTGGTGGGATCTTCTGTCACGATCGTCTAACAGAGATGAGGACCAAGGCGCAGCGTTGCAGGCAAACATACTCTTTATTAGAGACACGATCAAAAACAACAAAACGATAACGTGACAGTTCACGGTCTAACAGCACAGACTAGAAACAAGATCCCACAAACTCTGTGGGGAAACAGGCTGCTAAAGTATGGTTCTCAATCAGAGACAACAAGCAACAGCTGAATCACGTTGCCTCTGACTGAGAACCACACTGGCCAACATAGAACAACAATACTAGAATGTGAAACCTAGAACAAAACACATAGACTTTACACACCCTGGCTCAACATATTAGAGTCCCCAGAGCCAGGGCGTGACAGGGTATGAGGGTATGTCGAGGAAGATTGGTGTCAAGTTCAAACAGAGTGAGCCGTACACCAGGTCGAGTTCTGGAGGTGAAATGGAAGGGGTAGAAGGTGTTGTGAGGAACTCGGAGCCCGAGCCTTGCATTGATGGACACGGTTAGGATAAAGATACATTTGTTCCAGTGGGAAGGAGATTTTTGAAGAGGGTGGAACCAGGCCTTTTGGCTGATCCATGGGTTTCAGGTTGGGTGAAGGTAACCCGAAGTGGACTTGTGATGTTTGTTTGTATTGCTTTAGATCAGAGGGCGCAGGTGCTCCGTGCGATGCAACTTAGGGAAAGCCCTGTATCTTGCTTTTGATCTAGGTACAGGGGCACCATTGAAGGGAGTGATTTCTGGGGTAGTGTGGAGGTGGAGCAATTTAAGTTGAAGATTCCTGGTGTTTGTGATGCCCGCCATTCGTTGCGACCCAAATCCGGTGGGGAGCGTGGTGAAACAGAGGTGACACAGTCTGTTCTTTTGAGCTTTAATTCCCTATATCCGACTCCTATGGTCATATTTGGGTCCCACTTTATTTGGATAGTCCGGCTCTTCCATCTGTAGATGCTCTAAAGATGGTCATACTATCAACCAACTATCCGTTGATAAACAACTGCTTGCTAAGGTTAGGGTTAGGTTAAGGTTTAGAATAAGGGTTAGGGTAAAGGTTAAGGTTGAAATGTCACTGCTAGTCTCTAGATAGTCTGTAGAGCATCTTCAGATAGACTGTCCAAATAGAATGTTACCCATAGTTTATTATAATACAGGACAAACAGATCTAGTACCAGGCTAGATTTACCGTTATTTCTAAATGAAATGTTCCTGTATAGGAACAGTGAGATCAGTTAACAAGGTGAGGGAGTGTCTCTCAGACAGCCAGGCTGGCAGCTTAAAGAAGGGCTTCTCATGGCTCTCCTGAAGGCTTGTTAGATTGATGTGTGCAGTGAAGAGGTCAAAACATTGATCTGTCTCTACCACCAGATATCTCCAGTGAAGGACATAAGGCTATAGTTAAAGCATCATCACCTATTTTGGCATTCTGTCCCTTTGTCCTCTAGTTCAGAGTTCTTTGTGTAGATCTTGTGGGTAAAGCAAACTGTTTTATTTTGCTCCAGAACAAAGGATTAAAATAATGATCAGCCTGTGTTTGATTTAATTTCACTGACTGACATTTTATACAATATGGGACAGGGCTAGTGATCATACATTTATACAGTCTTTTGATTTTATTTACACCCGTGTTATTGACAGTGGTTGAATCAGTGAGTGTTTTTATCAACATTCCTTCTATTGACAATGGATCTAATACTTTACTGAGAGACTGATGGAATGTGAGTGGTGAGTGCCCCCCCCCCCCCCTCTCTCGCTCTCTCTCTCTCTCTCTCTCTCTCTCTCTCTCTCTCTCTCTCTCTCTCTCTCTCTCTCTCTCTCTCTCTCTCTCTCTCTCTCTCTCTCTCTCTCTCTCTCTCCCTCTCTCTCTCTCTCTATTTTTCAATTCACATTTTTTTCAATTTAAGGGCTTTATTGGCATGGGAAACGTATGTTAACATTGCCAAAGCAAGTGAAGTAGATAGTAAGCAAAAGTGAAATAAACAATAAATATTAACAGTAAACATTACACTCAGAAGTTCCAAAAGAATAAAGACATTTCATATGTCATATTATGTATATATACAGTGTTGTAACAATGTGCAAATAGTTAAAGTACAAATGGGAAAATAAATAAACATAAATATGGGTTGTATTTACAATGGTGTTTGTTCTTCACTGGTTGCCCTTTTCATGTGGCAACAGGTCACAAATATTGCAGCTGTGATGGCACACTGTGGTTTTTCACCCAGTACATAAGGGAGTTTATCAGAATTTTGTCCTGTAGTTCATTCAATGTAATTGGAGAATCCAGTGGGTTCTGGTAGTCTTTAATAGTTGATTCTAAGATTTGTATTTGATAATGTATATATTTTTTGCTGTTTGTTCTCTGTTATAGGGCCAAAAAGATTGGAGAAGTGGTTTACCCATACATCTCCATTTTGGATAGATAGCTCTTCGTGTTGTAGTTTGTTTAGTGTTTTCCAATTTTCCCAGAAGTGGTTAGTCTATGGATTCTTCAATTACATTGAGCTGATTTCTGACCTGCTGTTCCTTCTTTTTCCGTAGTGTATTTCTGTATTGTTTTAGTGATTCACCATAGTGAAGGCGTAGGCTCAGGTTTTCTGGGTTTTTGGTTGGATAGGTTTCTCAATTTCTTTCTTAGGTTTTTGCATTCTTCATCAAAACATTTATCACTGTTGTTACTTTTCTTTGGTTTTCTGATAGGGGTGTCAGTGGGCTGACTGTGAACGCTCTGAGAGACTCTGGGTTGAGGTCAGTGATAAAGTAGTCTACAGTACTACTGCCAAGAGATGAGCTATAGGTGTACCTACCATAGGAGTCCCCTCGAAGCCTACCATTGACTATGTACATACCCAGTGTGCGACAGAGCTGCAGGAGTCGTGACCCGTTTTTGTTGGTTATGTTGTCGTAGTTGTGCCTAGGGGGTCTCTCTCTCTCTCTCTCTCTCTCTCTCTCTCTCTCTCTCTCTCTCTCTCTCTCTCTCTCTCTCTCTCAAGGCTACTGACAGACATGCATGCTGGTGGAGTGTGTGTGTGATGTGTCTTCATCACATGGTAATAGAGCCGAGGGTGAGGAGTGAGGACAGTGTAGATAAGTGTTTGTCTGCTCAAGGCAGCCTCCACCCCCTAATTCACCTGCTTGTCTGAGTGCCACAGTAACACATAGCTATCTCTCCTGTTAAGATATGCTTCTACAGCCTATTCAGGCAGAGCCCTGACTGTCTGACTCTCCCCTGACTGTCTGACTCTCCCCTGACTGTCTGACTCTCCCCTGTGATTGCTTGTCCATTTACATCCATTTAAAGGGCCTGGAGGAGTGATGCTGGTCTCTATCTGAGGAACTGAGGTGTAATAGGTAGCAACAGGGTACAAAAAGTTAAGTCATCAAATAAAGATAGGTACCCGCACACTATTGAATGCTTCCACAGTTTTATTGAGTGCAACGTTTTGACCTGAAAGTCTTTGTCAGGCTTAACAATAAAGGCAGAAAGGGTTTCACTTACTCTGTGCTGTTGTTTTTGTGTGTTTGCAGTGCGGGACCCAAGGGAGACAACATCTATGAATGGAGGTCCACCATCCTGGGACCACCAGGCTCTGTGTACGAGGGAGGGGTCTTCTTCCTAGATATCACCTTCTCATCCGATTACCCCTTCAAGCCACCAAAGGTACTGTACGCTTTATTCACTTGCTTTATAGGTTTAGAGGTGGTTGTTTAAACAGTTCAGTAACATGGAAGCCTCTGCTTGCGTCCCAAATGTCACCTTATTCTCTATGTAGGGAATAGGGTGCCGTTTGGGACGCAGCCTCTGTCTGCAGCTAGTCCTCTATTGTTCTACATGGAGGTCAGGTCTGACAGGAGTTTGCTGAGGTCATCAGTTGAAACCTTGAGGCTGATAAACATGATGTCTTGTCTTGCCTTATGCTTTTGACCAACTGTGGCGCTGCCTGGCCATCATCTCGTTGAGGCTACTACACAAGCAGCAGTTACACCACAGCACTCTGCTCTACTGTCACATGACTGTGAAGACCAGGGGACCAAAATCACCCTGAGCCATTTAACACAATGCTGTTATTATTGAGAAAGAGTGGCAGCATTGGTGGTCTGTCTCAGTCAGGCGTGGCTTTGTGGCTGTGTGATACTGGGCACTAAGAGAGAAGCCCAGCAGAGTCTCTGTGTGTCCCCCAAATGGCACACTATTCCCTACATAGTTTACTACTTTTGACCAGGGCCCATAGGGCTCTGGTCAAAAGTAGTGCACTACAGTGCCTTCAGAAAGTATTCACACCCCTTGACTTTTTCCATATTTTGTTATGTTACAGCCTGATTTTTAAATTGAGATGTTGTGTCACTGGCCTACACACAATACCCCATAATGTCAAAGTGTAATTATGTTTTTAGAAATGTTTAGAAATTAATACAAAATGAAAAGTGGAAAAGTCTTGAGTCAATAAGTATTCAACCCCTTTGTTATGGCAAGTTTAGATAAGTTCAGGAGTAAAGATGTGCTTAACAAGTCCCATAATAAGTTGCATGGACTCACTCTCTGTGCAATAATAGTGTTTAACATGATTGTTGAATGACTACCTCATCTCTGTACCCCACATACAGTTATCTGTAAGGTCCCTCAGTCGAGCAGTGAATTTCAAACACAGATTCAACCACAAAGACCAGGGAGGTTTTCCAATGGCTCGCAAAGAAGAGCACCTATTGGTAGATGGGTAAAAAAAAAAAGCAGACATTGAATATCCCTTTGAGCATGGTGAAGTTATTAATTACACCCAGTCACTACAAAGATACAGGCATCCTTCCTAACTCAGTTGCCGGAGAGGATGGAAACCGCTCAGGGATTTCAACATGAGGCCAATGGTGACTTTAAAACAGTTGCAGAGTTTAATGGCTGTGATAGGAGAAAACTGAGGATGGATCAACAACATTGTAGTTACTCCACAATACGAACCTAATTGACAGAGTGAAAAGAAGGAAGCCTGTACAGAAAAAATATATATTCCAAAACATGCATCCTGTTTGCAACAAGGCACTAAAGTAATACTGCAAATAATTTGCCAAAGCAGTTTACTTTTTGTCCTGAATAAAAAGTGTTATGTTTGGGGCAAATCCAATACAACAGATTACCACTCTCCACATTTTCAAGCATGGTGGTGGCTGCATTATGTTACGGGTATGCTTGTAATCGTTAAATAATAATAATAATAATATGCCATTTAGCAGATGCTTTTATCCAAAGCGACTTACAGTCATGCGTGCATACATTTTTGTGTATGGGTGGTCCCGGGGATCGAACCCACTACCTTGGCGTTACAAGCGCCGTGCTCTACCAGCTGAGCTACAGACGACCACATGGTCCAGTTAAGGACTGGGGAGTTTTTCAGAATAAAAAATAAACGGAATGGAGCTAAGCACAGGCAAAATCCTAGAGGAAAACCTGGTTCAGTCTGCTTTCCACCAGACACTGGGAGATGAATTCACTGTTCAGCAGGACAATAACCTAAAACACAAGGCCAAATCTACACTGGAGTTGCTTACCAAGAAGACAGTGAATGTTCCTGAGTGACCGAGTTACAGTTTTGACTTAAATCTACATGAAAATCTATGGCAAGACATGAAAATGGTTGTCTAGCAATAACCAACAACCAATTTGACAGAGCTTGAAGACATTTGAAAAGAATAATGGACAAATGTTGCACAATCCAGGTGTGGAAAGGTTAGAGATTTACCCAGAAAGACTCACAGCGGTAATCGCTGCCAAAGGTGCTGTTACAAGATATTAACTCAGGGGTGTGAATACTTATGTAAATGAGATATTTCTGTATTTAATTTTCAATATGGGGTACAGTGCCTTGCAAAAGTATTCATCCCCCTTGGCGTTTTTCCTATTTTGTTGCATTACAACCTGTAATTTAAATGGATTTTATTTTGATTTCATGTAACTGACATACACAAAATAGTCCAAATTGGTGAAGTGAAATAAAAAAAATAACTTATTTCAGAAAATGCTAAAAATAAATAATGGAAAAGTGATGCGTTCATATGTATTCACCCCCTTTGCTATGAAGCCCCTAAATAAGATCTGATGCAACCAATTACCTTCAGAAGTCACATAATTAGTTAAATAAAGTCCACATGTGTGCAATCTAAGTGTCACAAGATCTCAGTATATATACACCTGTTCTGAAAGGCCCCAGAGTCTGCATAACCACTAAGCAAGGGGCACCACCAAGCAAGTGGCACCATGAAGACCAAGGAGCTCTCCAAACAGGTCAGCAACAAAGTTGTGGAGAAGTACAGATCAGGGTTGGCTTATAAAAAAATATCAGAAACTTTGAACATCCCACGGAGCACCACTAAATCCATTATAAAAAAATTGAAAGAATATGGCACCACAACAAATCTGCCAAGAGAGGGCCGCCCACCAAAACTCACAGACCAGGCAAGGAGGGCATTAATCAGAGAGGCAACAAAGAGACCAAAGATAACCCTGAAGGAGCTGCAAATCTCCACAGCGGAGATTGGAGTATCTGTCCATAGGACCACTTTAAGCCGTACACTCCACAGAGCTGGGCTTTACGGAAGAGTGGCCAGAAAAACGCCATTGCTTAAAGAAAAAAATAAGCAAACATGTTTGGTGTTCGCCAAAAGGCATGTGGGAGACGCCCCAAACATATGGAAGAATGTACTCTGGTCAGGTGAGACTAAAATGTTGCTTTTTGGCCATCAAGGAAAACACTATGTCTGGCGCAAACCCAACACCTCTCATCACCCCGAGAACACCAACCCCACAGTGAAGCATGGTGGTGGCAGCATCATGCTGTGGGGATGTTTTTCATCGGCAGGGACTGGGAAACTGGTCAGAATTGAAGGAAAGATGGATGGCGCTAAATACAGGAAAATTCTTGAGGGAAACCTGTTTCAGTCTTCCAGAGATTTGAGACTGGGACGGAGGTTCACCTTCCAGCAGGACAATGACCCTAAGCATACTGCTAAAGCAACACTCGAGTGGTTTAAGGGGAAACATTTAATTGTCTTGGAATGGCCTAGTTAAAGCCCAGACCTCAATCCAATTGAGAATATGTGGTATGACTTAAAGATTGCTGTACACCAGCGGAACCCATCCAACTTGAAGGAGCTGAAGCAGTTTTGCCTTGAAGAATGGGCAAAAATCCCAGTGGCTAGATGTGCCAAGCTTATAGAGACATACCCCAAGAGACTTGCAGCTGTAATTGCTGAAAAAGGTGGCTCTACAAAGTATTGACTTTTGGGGGGTTTTCAGTTTTTTTGTCTTATTTCTTGTTTGTTTCACAAAAACAAAACAAAATGTTGCATCTTCAAAGTGGTAGGCATGTTGTGTAAATCAAATGATACAAACCCCTAAAAAAATCAATTTTAATTCCAGTTTGTAAGGCAACAAAATAGGAAAAATGCCAAGGGGGGTGAATACTTTCGCAAGCCACTGTATTGTGTGTAGATGGGTGAGAGAAAAAAATATATTTAATCCATTTTGAAATCAGGCTGTAACACAACAAAATGTGGAATAATTCAAGGGGTATGAATACTCTCTGAAGGCAGGGAGTAGGGTGCCTTTTGGGACGCTGCTTCTTTTGCGTTATAGGCACTGCAGGGGCTCCTCTTTTTTAGCAGCATATATTCTCAGTAATACACTCTTCCGACAGGCTACACTGCCTATTATGTTTCTGAGAAAACTTTACGGAAGGTGGATATAATCAGGATCATAATAGCTTTCTGGTAGTGGAGGTGAGCAATAGGGTTATTTCATAGAAAGCAATCCCATTTCACATAAAAACTAACAGGCATAAATATATTTACGAGAAATCAGCCTCAGAACTGAAAGTTGTACCACTCTATACTGGACTGAGGGGGTGTTGTGATATGTTTGCTCTGTCTAGCAGTTCTATTATTCAGCGCAAATCCCCTGTTTACAGTGATGGGATTAGCCTTTACAGTGGTTATGGTAATAAAAGACTGAGTCTGTCTCGTCTGGTTTCTATTAACATGTCATAAAGATGGCATATACAGTTTGACTTTAGAGAGAGCGCGAGAGAGCAAGAGAGAGGGCGAGAGAGCAAGAGAGAGAGAGAGAGAGCAGACTTGTTCAGAGGCGGTGTGGTTCCCCTCCATGCTACCAATTACCCAGGGGTGGTGTGTCTGTGTCTGACTCCCTCTCTCCCTATCTATATATCTTTCTTTCTTTTTCTCTCTCTCTCTTTCTTTCTCACTCTCTCTCTCTTCTCTCTCTTTCTCTCTCCCTCCCTCTAATGTCAAAGCCATAAACAGCTAGTGGCATCATTAAGATCATTGGCTGTGAGTGGTCCTAATTGGTTTCCCCATGCAATAAGGGCTGCTCAGAGAGAGAAGGCCTCAATGGGATGTTAAAAGACTTCCCTTATGTAAACACCACATGATTTCACATGTGGAAAATCACATGATTTCACATGTGACATTTCCACATGTTTTGCACATGTGAAATCATGTGAAACCATGTGTTTTGCAACACTTCATGTGACATTTCCCATGTGAGCTAATTTTACATTTACATTTAAGTCATTTAGCAGACGCTCTTATCCAGAGCGACTTACAAATGGGCGCATCCAACTTAGGAATCACCCTAGATCATGTAAAACCATGTGTTTTTGGAACATTTCACATGTGGATTTTCACGTGATCGCATAACCTTTCACGTGGATTGAAATTTTCACATGGGATTTCACAGAAAAAAGTGTGTCTTTATGATACACACACAGTGTTTTCAACTTACATATTTGACTGCATTGTGTATGTTTATTTATACAGTAATTCTTATTTAACATGTCCTTACCTGGGATTTGACTTCACAACCTCTTGGTTCACTGCATTCCAAGCATCCTGCTACGCCACCATGTCTGTGTCATTAACTGATTTCACCTGTATTCCTACATTTTGGACTTCAAGTACATCTCAGATTTGCTAAAAATACACTCAAGAAAAACGATTATATTTATCATAGTGATTCAGGATTAACATTAAAACAGAATAATATGCCCCACCAACATTAGACAAATTCACAGAAAACCCTCAAATTGCTGAAATAAGTAAATGTAATCAATGATGAGAGAATAGTCAGAATAACTGATAACTAAAATAGCAGTGCAGATGACACTCTTTTGCTAAGTGCAGAGATGTATTATAGGTATTGAATGTGTATGGGACTGCAACAGACTTTGTGGTGCAGCAGGAAGGGCAGTGTACCTCACATCCAGAGGTTGTGTGTTCAAATCCCAGCTGGAGTTATACTTTAGCTGAACAGCAATATCACATGAAATTTCACGTGAAAAACATGTTCACATGTGAAGTTTCAAAACCAAAGTTTGTGAAGTGTTCCAAAAACACGTTTTCACATGTGAAATGTCACGTGAAGTCTTCCCAAAAAAAGCTTTTCCACATAATTTCACGAGAAATGTCACATGTGAAGTGTTAAAAAAAACATTTCCACATGTGAAAGAAGAAATGCCAGATGTGAAGTGTTCCAAAACCACATTTTCACATGATTTCACATGTGAAATTTCACGTTTCATGTGTGAAATCATGTGGTTCAACATGTGATAACATACAATTACACTGTTAGCCATTGCTGTTAATTTTGTGGGAAAATTGTGTCATTTTACATTACATTTCTACAGTAATATGTTAATGTATTTTGCTATATATTTACTGTCAATTGCAATGCACATGGGTAGGCTACTTTTTGGCCGTCATGCAAATTAACTTGGCATGCCTTACTTACAATTGCATTTAAACTTAAAGGATAGTTTAGATAGGCTTATTATTTTATAGTAAGTTACCAGCTACTGAGTTGCAGTGAAAATAGTGGAACAACTTTTTATGTATTTCTACAGCTGAACTGTATTTAGTCAGTAAATATACAACAACGAACTGTATACAGGAAGTACACGGAAATTCCAATTCTCATTCCAATTATTTTCAATGCTTTTCCGGAAAATGAGGAAATGGATTTTGGTTTACTTTCTGAATTGACTGGAACTCAATTTGGTTAGCACACTTGGGACACAAACACACTTGGGATTTGCCAGCAACCTGGGATTTTCCAGCAACCTGAATTTCCTGCTTTGCCACCAGGTCTGTGGCCATGACAGAGATCGACCACAGATTTATTGGTAAGAATACATTTCTGCACTTTGCTAAAAGTTGCCCGTCCATAATCAAGTAAATAATTGTGGGATTATCTGACAAAACCAACGAAAAAGTAGCAGTGCTCAGAAACACTTGAAATTAAGGCCTAGATTCAATCAGATCAAGCGTAAACAGGGGTAGCCGACACCCGCATAGCTGGGGTTTGGCAGTGTCGGAGATGTAACTGCGTTACGGTACAGTGTTGTGCCCTGGTGTGCGTAAGGTACCTTCAGAGTTAGGAACTCGCATCCACCTGTGGTAAATTCAATTGATTGGACATGATTTGGAAAGGCACACACCTGTCTATATAAGGTCCCACAGTTGACAGTGCATGTCAGAGCAAAAACCAAGCCATGAGGTCGAAATAATTGTCCGTAGAGCTCCGAGACAGGATTGTGTCGAGGCACAGATCTGGGGAAGGGTACCAAAACATTTCTGCAACATTGAAGGTCCCCAAGAACACAGTGGCCTCCATCATTCTTTAAATGGAAGACGTTTGGAACCACCAAGACTCTTCCTAAGGCTGGCCGCCCGGCCAAACTGAGCAATAAGGGGAGAAGGGCCTTGGTCAGGGAGGTGACCAAGAACCCAATGGTCACTCTGACAGAGCTCCAGAGTTGCTCTGTGGAGAATGGAGAACCTTCCAGAAGGACAAAAACTCTGCAGCACTCCACCAAACAGACCTTTATTGTAGCGTGGCTAGACGGAAGCCACTCCTCAGTAAAAGGCACTTGACTGCCCGCTTGGAGTTTGCCAAAAGGCACCTAAAGGACTCTCAGACCATGAGAAATAAGATTCTCTGGTCTGATGAAACCAAGATTGAAATATTTGGCCTGAATTCCAAGCGTCACGTCTGGAGGAAACCTGGCACCATCCCTACGGTGAAGCATGGTGGTGGCAGCATCATGCTGTGGGGATGTTTTTCAGCCAAGGTCAAGGGGTCTGAATACTTTCCGAATGCACTGTAGGTGGGGGCAATGTGCTGGCGGGGCCCATTACCATATTTCGGGGCATGTTCTAAAATATGTTGTATTTGTTCCAACCTTCAGTCGGAGTGTTGTACCAGTTTAAGTGGTTTTATCGTTGTGTTGGTTAAGGTTGAGTACCTCTTTTGACACTAGCTGGTCTACAATCTTTGGCAGAGCTCGTGACAGTGAAGAGCTGCATGGTGAAAAGGTTACTGCACATATTTTCCAGTAGCTTAATTGCAGCTGGTTCACAGGAAGTTCATGTTTAATTTTCAATAACTTACTGTCAACTAGTTGCAAGTGAGTTAATGTGAAATTCACATTAACTTACTGTAGCTAATCCATCACACTCACCAAAATGGTCTGGTAGGGAATTGAGTATTACAATGACATGGTTACTAGCTATAAATGAAATATTGTATGGTTCCTTTGTTGTACATGCACTTATGGCAGCCTTTAACAAAGCTGCAAAACTGACAGCTTTGTGTTTATGAACAGAATACAATATAGCACATTAACTGACTTAGCTGAAAGCCACGCCTCCAATAAGCTACACCTGCAATCTTCTGATAGGCTGCAGCTGCTACAGTATGCTGCCAATCAGCAAGTGATGCGCATGTTGTCAACAGAAGAGTCGGTGAAGGCACAGTAGGTTACTGGCAAGGATTGCAAGTGGCAGCAAATGTCCTATAGGTTACTGGCAACAACAACAAAAAAGGCAGTATGTTACTGTGAATTTGACAATAACTTACAAACTAGTAGGTTCCAAGTAAAAAATGACAAATTCACAGCAACTTCTTGCAACAAGTTGCCATTAACTTACTGGAAAATACACAATAACGTCTTTACAGTGAGTGCAGCTCATTACTGACACATTCTCTTACAAAGTTTCCAGAACAGACAGTGTCAAAAGAGGTGCTTAACTTGCATCGGCATAACCATCAAACACTTAAACTGCTACAACAGTGTGCTTGAGCACTGCTAGTTTTACGTTAATGTTACGTTGGTGGTGATAATTGCATAATTATTTACTTGATTCTGGGCAATGATGAATAATGCAGAAATGCATTCTTGCCAATAAATCTGTGGCCATATCTCTTTCATGCTCACAGATCTGGTGGTGTAGCTGCACAGTAGCAGAACATTTCAGGTTGTTAGCGACCGAGAGGTTTTAAGTTCAAATCCCATTTAAGGTCCCAATTGTCACATGTAGTTTCATGTTATCACATTGAGATTTTGCATCCCCATGTTGTCACATTTATTTCACATACATTTCACAAGATCATGTTCTCACATGTGCTAATATGTTGTCACGTGTAGTTTTATGTTATCACATGTTGTCACGTTATCACATGAACTTTACATTAAATCGCGTGATCATATGAGATGTGAAATTCATGTGTTTTTTCCGTAAGGGTTAGCTCAACGCATGTCACCGACTGGCCTACCTACCAGATATTGCAGGGAAAGGCCAATAGATATTCACACACCATTTGCTGGTACCTGAGGTCTCCCGGTCTTATCTACTGTATGATGGCTTAATTATGGGATGTGTTAAGTTGCCATACACATTTATGCCAATTGCCTGTCTGTCTTTATGCTGTTTTATAAGTGCAAATGTCAAGGATGTGTGGTTTAGCTTTGTGAGGTTTAGATGACTACAGTGAATGCAGACTTAACAGGGAATGTTCTTGCTCCACAGTAAATGTTCCAGCTCCTCCTCAGGCGGCAGGTAGCCTAGCAATTAAGAGCATTGGGCTAGTAACCGAAAGGTTGCTGGTTTTAAATCCCGAGCCGACTAGGTGAAAAATCTGTCGATGTGCCCTTGAGCAAGGCACTTAACCATAATTGCTCCTGTAAGTCGCTCTGGATAACAGCGTCTGCTAAATGACTAAAATGTAAATATAGCTCCTCAGTAAATTATCTAGCGCCTTGTTAAATGTTCTAGCTCCCCAGTTAATGTTTTGGTTCCTCAGTAAATGATATATCTCCCCAGTTAATGTTCTGGTTCCTCAGTTAATGATCTATCTCCTCAGTTAATGTTCTAGCTACTCAGTTAATGATCTATCTCCCCAGTTAATGTTCTGGTTCCTCAGTAAATGATCTATCTCCTCAGTTAATGTTCTAGCTCCTCAGTTAATGATCTATCTCCTCAGTTAATGTTCTAGTTCATCTGTAAATGTTCTAGCTCCTCGAGCTCTATAAATGTTCTAGCTCCTAAGTAAATGTTCTACCTCCTCAGTAACCCTTGCATGCTTTATTGTTGACCCCATTGTTAACACTGTATCTTATCTTATCTGCCTGGCTGGCTGATAAAGCCTAAATGTGTTTCATGCCTTCCTCCTCTTCCACAGGTCAGTTTTCATTTGAGGAAAGTGGCCCAAGAAAAACAATCAGGGTGTACTGATATGTATGTCTGTGTTGTTTCCTAGCCAGGGTATATATTTACTTTCTGATGTCTCCTTGGTGACGTTCTGCACCAGGAACTACCACTGTAACATCGACAGTCAGGGTGTGATCTGTCTGGATCTACTTTATGTTGTTTCTAAGGTGATGTTAGATCTGCTTTATGTTGTTCCCTAGGTGACGTTCCGCACCAGGATCTACCACTGTAACATCAACAGTCAGGGTGTGATCTGCCTGGATATCCTGAAGGACAACTGGAGCCCTGCCCTCACCATCTCCAAGGTGCTGCTGTCCATCTGCTCCCTGCTCACAGACTGTAACCCTGGTGAGTGACACAGCGGTCCACCAATCAGACATATAGTAGATATACTGTACACATGTAACAGACTGCAACCCTGGTGAGTGACACAGCGGTCAACCAATCAGTCATACAGTAGATATAATGTACACATGTAACAGACTGCAACCCTGGTGAGTGACACAGCGGTCAACCAATCAAACATACAGTAAATATACTGTACACATGTAACAGACTGTAACCCCAAAGCAAGCCTCAAAACCAAAGACATTACACTGCACTTGACTTGTAGAATGTTTGCGCTGTGTCAGGGATGGGACAGTGGGACAGCCATCAATTTAGAAATCCTACTAAATCTTTCTTCTACCTTGATGCATGCTTCAATTTCTACTTGAATGAAGTAATTTATACAAAGTTTAAAACGAAGCAATCCTGTGTGCCTGCCTTGAGACTTGGAGATCTAAGGTCGCCCTCTTACCAATGACTGTGTACCAATGACTAAGGCCTCTTACTCATGAGTGTCTCATCCCTTTACTCTCTTCAGTCAGTTTAGACTTCTGCAACCCTCTTACTAATGCGTTGCTCATCTCTCTTTCCTGTCTTCTCCCTCTCTCCTCAGCTGACCCTCTGGTTGGTAGCATTGCCACTCAGTACCTGACCAACAGAGCCGAGCATGACAGGATAGCCCGACAGTGGACCAAGAGATACGCCACTTAGAGGTCACGATCCCTAACCCCTGACCCCGTCCTGTCTGATCCCCTGTCCCCCCAGCCCCCCTGCCTGCAGTGTGAAGGTCCCGGAGGCGACGTCACATCGTGCAACAAATCTTTATAGCCTTTACAATACGGACTTCTGTGTAAATGTCTGATTACTGATTCTACTCCTCCACATTTTACCCTGCTATGAGGACTGGGTCTGAAGAGAGACAGAGAGAGAGACAGATCCAAGCAGGCATTGTCTCACGTCAGATAGCGAAGCGTCGCCTCTGTCTGCACTGATAGTTCATGGCAACACAGAGCGTTTGAATGACGCCATCTGTCGGAAGACAATGCCCAACAAAAGGTAAATGTATATTGGAGTAGAATTTTGTAGCTGTAGATTTTAGTTATGTTTAAATGCCTCTACTTGCAAGTCTTGCTTCTTTGGGATATAAAAAAATAAAATGTATTTTGTGATGTAATAAAGGAAACTATTCCTAAAGTCTCAACCAAATATTATGGTGCATTTTAACCTTCTCCATTATCTGTATGAAGTTAAAGAAGAAAAAACAACTAGCTGATGTAGATTATTAGAGATGATGATGTCATTTATATGAAAGCCAGACACCCATTTCCAGTTATGTAGTTACATTATACTGTTGTGATGACTCTGTTTTACCTTGTCAATTTGTAATGAAAACGATATTTCATTGAAACCTTTTTGTAGCTCAACAAAAGATGAGCCACCACTGTAACATCCCCAAAACACAATAAACTTGTCCCCAAGGGTTGAATTGTACAGTCTAAACTCATGGATGATTGACATTGGGAGCTGGCATTCAATAACCAGGGCTGCGTCCCAAATGACACCATATTCCGACTTTTGACCTGAGTCCATGCGCCCTGGTCAAAAGAAGGGCACTACATAGGGGATAGGGTGCCATTTGGGACATAGACAAAGGCTCAATTTGTTCAGGGCCAATAAGAGGAATGAGAGGACCACGGGAAACGACCAAGACAATGTCATTATGTTACATAGAGATAGTCACTCAGAACTGCTGCTCTGCAAACTGCCGTACCGTTATCTCTTGAGATGTATAATGTCATACTGATTCTACTCCTCCTATTACCATATGAGGACTGATGTCTGTAGGAAAAGACGGTGCTCAAATCGACCTAGACTTGAAGTGCACATAAAATTCCATTCACATCACGGGGAAACAGATGCAGCTCTCTCTCTCTCTCTTGAAGTTAAATCCTATGAGGATAAAACAAAACAAAGGATGGAAAGAGAGAGAAACTGGAAAAATACTATTCAAGTAGAATTTTGTAGCTGTAGTAGATTTAGTATGTACGCTGTAGATATATTGTTATCTCAATGTTTGCTAGCGGCCTCTTTACTCTATAAACATACAGTGGGGAGAACAAGTATTTGATACACTGCTGATTTTGCAGGTTTTCCTACTTACAAATCATGTAGAGGTCTGTAATTTTTATCATAGGTACACTTCAACTGTGAGAGATGGAATCTAAAACAAAAATCCAGAAAATCACATTGAATGATTTTTAAGTAATTAGTTTGCATTTTATTGCATGACATAAGTATTTGATACATCAGAAAAGCAGAACTTAATATTTGGTACAGAAACCTTTGTTTTTTTGTTTACTTTCTTTTAAATATTTTTTATTTTTATTTAGTTTTTTTAGTTTTTTGGGGGGGGGGGAAATGGATCAGCTTAATATTGCAGATAGATTGTATCTTCTATCAATGTAATTGTCTGCATCACTTCCAATCCCGCATGTTTTTTATATTTTTATATATATATACTCCCCTTTATTACTTTTCAACCCCACCATCCTTTCCCTACTTGGAGTAAATTAGTGAACAACAATGCCCAGGCCTCTACTTCCGGTCTATACTTACTATCTACACCTTATGGACAGAGTTAATTTTACAATAATTATATTATATATATATATATATATATATATATTTATTTATTTTTTTGGCTCCTGAACTTCTTCTACTCTCAACCTCTCCGATCATTTTCATGATGTCCATCCGGTTTGCTTCTATATGCCATATCTTTCTAACTGTGCTCTTTCCCAAAAGCTCCCAACATACAACCTATATACTTATTATGGACACAGTATGCTTACATTATTAGCTATCTTTGTTATTATTTGTTGTTATTTGTTATTAGTCCCATCCTTCAACTCTATTCAATACCTCCCATCTATCTCTTAACACCATCCATATAGGATTTCTATTTGCCATATATATTTCAACCGTACTGTGATGTTTTACAAAAGTTCTGAACCTTTTTATTCTCATTGCTTCTACAAACCTTTGTTTGCAATTACAGAGATCATACATTTCCTGTAGGTCTTGACCATGTTTGCACACACTGCAGCAGGGATTTTGGCCCACTCCTCCATACAGGCCTTCTCCAGATCCTTCAGCTTTCGGGGCTGTCGCTGGGCAATACGGACTTTAAGCTCCCTCCAAAGATTTTCTATTGGGTTCAGGTCTGGAGACTGGCTAGGCCACTCCAGGACCTTGAGATGCTTCTTACGGAGCCACTCCTTAGTTGCCCTGGCTGTGTGTTTCGGGTTGTTGTCATGCTGGAAGACCCAGCCACAACCCATCTTCAATGCTCTTACTGAGGGAAGGAGGTTGTTGACCAAGATCTCGCGATACATGGCCCCATCCATCCTCCCCTCAATATGGTGCAGTCGTCCTGACCCCTTTGCAGAAAAGCATCCCCAAAGAATGATGTTTCCACCTCCATGCTTCACGGTTGGGATGGTGTTCTTGAGGTTGTACTCATTCTTCTTCTTCCTCCAAACACGGCGAGTGGAGTTTAGACCAAAAAGCTCTATTTTTTTCTCATCAGACCACATGACCTTCTCCCATTCCTCTTCTGGATCATCCAGATGGTCATTGGCAAACTTCAGACGGGCCTGGACATGCGCTGGCTTGAGCAGGGGGACCTTGCGTGCGCTGCAGGATTTTAATCCATGACGGCGTAGTGTGTTACTAATGGTTTTCTTTGAGACTGTGGTCCCAGCTCTCGTCAGGTCATTGACCAGGTCCTGCCGTGTAGTTCTGGGCTGTTCCCTCACCTTCCTCATGATCATTGATGCCCCACGAGGTGAGATCTTGCATGGAGCCCCAGACCGAGGGTGATTGACCGTCATCTTGAACTTCTTCCATTTTATAATAATTGCGCCAACAGTTGTTGCCTTCATACCAAGCTGCTTGCCTATTGTCCTGTAGCCATCCCAGCCTTGTGCAGGTCTACAATTTTATCCCTGATGTCCTTACACAGCTCTCTGGTCTTGGCCATTGTGGAGAGGTTGGAGTCTGTTTGATTGAGTGTGTGGACAGGTGTCTTATATACAGGTAACGAGTTCAAACAGGTGCAGTTAATACAGGTAATGAGTGGAGAACAGGAGGGCTTCTTAAAGAAAAACTAACAGGTCTGTGAGAGCCGGAATTCTTACTGGTTGGTCATGCAATAAAATGCAAATTAATTACTTAAAAATCATACAATGTGATTTTCTGGATTTTTGTTTTAGATTCCGTCTCTCACAGTTGAAGTGTAGCTATGATAAAAATTACAGACCTCTACATGCTTTGTAAGTAGGAAAAATCGGCAGTGTATCAAATACTTGTTCTCCCCACTGTAGATACAGGTTTTCTGTTTTATTGACGTGGGTTTTTTCATTATTCTCTATCGATCTCTGACTTTTATTGACGTGTTCAGCCTCATTTTTCTCTTTTCACTGACTAGCCTCAACAGTGGAGTGAGAGATATATATTCTCTGGCCTGTATCGTAACCCTGGAGATGGATAGGAGAATACCTGGTAGTGGTGCTGTAGGAGTAAGTCATAGGTACCACTACATACTGGTCTGTGTTTTGTCTCAATTGCTGAGGTTAGGATGTTGGTAGGGCAAGATGATCCTAGATCTGTATCTAGGGGCAATTTCACCCTTAAAATCAGTGCTTTACCCCTCTCATAGTTAGACCGCCCCCTTGTGGTTTGAACTACACACACATCTGGAAGAGGCTATTGTTCTACTAATGGTCTTGTTTTACATTGTGTTATCCTCTATGATCATAGATAGATAGTATGTTGCTGGTATAATGAAGCAGTATTCATATGATGCGTTGAGAAACCACAATAAGTAAATGATTACTTGCGGTGTATCTGATGATTACGACTTCTTTAAGACTTTAGCTGGGAAGAGATGCTTATCAGATAAACGGCTAGTTGAAATTCTAAACTATACTGAACAAAAATGTAAACGCAACATGCAACAATTTCAATTTACTGAGTTACAGTTCATATAATGAAATCAGTCAATTGAAATAAATTCATTAGGCCCTAATCTATGGATTTCACATGACTGGGCAGAGGTGCCCTGTAGCTCAATTGGTAGAGCATGGCGCTTGTAACGCCAGGGTAGTGGGTTCGGTCCCTGGGACCACCCATACGTAAAAATGTATGCACACATGACTGTAAGTCGCTTTGGATAAAAGCGTCTGCTGAATGGCATATTATTATTATATTATAGGTGCAGCGATTGGTGGGCTGTGGAGGGCATAGGCCCAACCACTTGGCAGCCAGGCCCACCCACTGGGGAGCAAGGCCCAGCCAATCATAATGAGTTTTTCCCCACAAAAGGGCTTTATTACAGACAGAAATACCCCTCAGCACCCCTCACCCCCCCTCAGATGATTCCGCAGGTGAAGAAGCCGAATGTGGAGGTCCTGGGCTGGCGTGGTTACACGTGGTCTGCGGTTGTGAGGCCGGTTGGACGTACTGCCAAATTCTCTAAAACGATGTTGGAGGCAGCTTATGGTAGAGAAATTAACATTAAATTCTCTGGCAACAGCTCTGGTGGACATTTCTCCAGTCAGCATGCCAATTGCATGCTCCCTCAAAACTTGAGACATGTTGTGTGTCAAAACTGCACATTTTAAAGTGGCCTTTTATTGTTCCCAGCACAAGGTGCACCTGTGTAATGATCATGCTGTTTAATCAGCTTCTTGATATGCCACACCTGCAGTGGAAGGATTATCTTGGCAAAGGAAACTCCCATGTAGCTCCCATGTAGCTCAGTTGGTAGAGCATGGCGTTTGAAACGCCAGGGTTGTTGGTTCGATTCCCATGGGGGGCCAGTATGAAAAATGTATGCACTCACTAACTGTAAGTCGCTCTGGATAAGACTAAAGACAACAATTTAAATGCTCACTAACAGGGATGTAAACAAATTTGTGCACAAAATCTGAGAGAAATAAGCTTTTTGTGTTTATGGACAATTTCTGTGATTTTGTTATTCCAGCTCATGAAACATGGGACCAACACTTTACCTGTTGCGTTTATATTTTTGTTCAGTGTAGTTATCACATTGTGTATAATATGAATTACGCTGTGTATTTCAGGAATTCTGACTGGAATTATCACAGGAGAGAGACAGAGGAACAG